GGTACAAATTGATCCAAAATAGTGCGCCCTATTATACGGAAAAGTCAAAACGCGACAAAATCGCTTGCATTATTTGTATGAGGAAAGAAAATCAGGGAAAAAGCAGATTGAGAGATGGTTAAGTTTCTGTAATTTCCTGGTTTCTCTAGTCCTCTACATATGTACTCTTTGGGAGTAATTTATAAGATACAACCTCAGGTTGTTTGTTTTTAATATTTTTTGCGGTAAAAAAAAAATATAGACGTTATTCTACTTTTTTGCTTGCTAGAGGGGGGGGATTTTCGAATTTTTCCTTGATAAGCGGCATTAAAGACCGAGGGAAATCTAGAGATTATTGTAAATCTACTAGAGAAGTGTATAAAATTCGTGTGTATTCCTTATCCGCAGGATATTCTTTTTTTAAAAGTAACTTGCGAAGAGTGCTGCAAGAGCTCTAGCCCTAAGTGGGTGGGGGACTTGTATGTGAATTCGCATTTAAGGGGCGGTTTTTCTAAAAATTTTTTTTTTTTTAGAATCTGTATCCTAGGAAAGTAAGGAGCGGCAAAATGGATACTTTAGTGGTAATCCGTAACGATGAGCCTAACCTAGTTAGTGCTTCTAGCATGGATTATTACTTAAGAGGTATAGATGGGTTGATGGCGTATGTTGTCGATCTTTTCTATACAGAATAAGAAAATACCGGTTAGGTTATCCTAATCGTGTATAGGATAAATCGTGGATGAGATTGAAGCTTTTATTGCTTTGAAATCTAAAGCGAAGAATCTAAAATACAATAGATACCTGGTTGATCCTGCCAGTAGTCATATGCTTGTCTCAAAGATTAAGCCATGCATGTCTAAGTATAAATCGTTTATACAGGTGAAACTGCGAATGGCTCATTAAATCAGTTATAGTTTATTTGATAGTACAATTACTACTTGGATAACCGTGGTAATTCTAGAGCTAATACATGCTAAAAATCCCGACTTCTGGAAGGGATGTATTTATTAGATAAAAACCAATAACCTTCGGGTTTCACTTGGTGATTCATGATAACTTTTCGAATCGTATGGCCTTGCGCCGACGATGTATCATTCAAATTTCTGCCCTATCAACTTTCGATGGTAGGATAGAGGCCTACCATGGTTTTAACGGGTAACGGGGAATTAGGGTTCGATTCCGGAGAGGGAGCCTGAGAAACGGCTACCACATCCAAGGAAGGCAGCAGGCGCGCAAATTACCCAATCCCGACACGGGGAGGTAGTGACAATAAATAACAATACAGGGCTCTTTCGGGTCTTGTAATTGGAATGAGTACAATTTAAATCCCTTAACGAGGAACAATTGGAGGGCAAGTCTGGTGCCAGCAGCCGCGGTAATTCCAGCTCCAATAGCGTATATTAAAGTTGTTGCAGTTAAAAAGCTCGTAGTTGAATTTCGGGGTTCCACCGTTGGTCGGGCTATTGTTTGTACTGGCGTGTGGAATTTCTACCTTCTGGGGAACTATCATGTTATTAATTTAGCGTGGTAGGAAACCAGGACCTTTACCTTGAAAAAATTAGAGTGTTCAAAGCAGGCTTATGTCTGAATACATTAGCATGGAATAATAAAATAGGACGGTGGTCCTGTTTTGTTGGTTTCTGAATCACCGTATACCATAACGGTTTGGGTGGGGTGTACACCCCACCCAAAATTTATTCAACGGAGAGAGTGTAGTGGGTGAGTTACCTCTGCCCAGCGGCCGCTAGGGCAGAGGTAACGATTTACCAATAGTAACCCAGCGGCCGCTAGGGTTACTATTGGTAGTTTAAAGTATACAATACATAATTATTAAATTAATTATAAATAAGTATTATTTTTTTTTTTTAACTTAGGACAAATGAATTTTGAAAAAGATTCAATCGAAAAAGTTTATATTGGTTGTTGCTTCAATGGACCTAACAATGCCTATTACAGAATAGTAAAAATTCTTAAACGTGATGTTGCCAAGAAGGTGGTCTTTGTGGTTGTAGACGATGAGGCTTCACATAGAATGGTTAAAGAATTTGTTCCTAAAAATGATCTATCAATTATCTACGATCATAAAAATGGGTATTGGTCAAATGTTAGATATTATGTTAAAGTTATTGGGAGATATTGTGAAGCACAGTTGCATTATGATGAAAATGGAAATTTTTATTTTGTTGATATATTTGCATTTAATGATTTGAACATTCCTATTTTGTCTTATTCTAATAATTTTCATATTAGGTATCAACTTTTTACTGACGATAAAACTGAGGGGTATATGCCGATCCAGGAGTTTAGACAATTTGAGGATCAATATGATAAATTGGATATGGATATTGTATAATAATTTTTATTTAAACTGTAAATTTATTTCAAATTAATAATTAAACAATCCATGATGATTCAATGTGATATTTTATATCTTATTTTCGAAAATTTATCTGATGATAACGGTACATTAGCAAATTGCATCTATGTTTGCCGTGGTTGGGCAGATATTGCTGTTAAAATATTATATCGAGATCCATTTAAAAATATTATCGAACTTGAGAATCAGATTCTTATCATACGGTTATTTGAACGTTCTTTTACCGATAGATTAACGTATGATTATGTGTCATTTCTAAAATATATTAGGATAACAAATTTAACTGACTGGATTAGTAATGTTGAATGGAATTTAAACTGGTCTGATGGAAGGAAAGTTGATACTTTTAGAGCTCATACTTCCAGGGTGTTTACTTTACTTAAAAATATTTTTAAAAGATGTGGAACTTTAAAATATCTGGGATATTGTAGTCTTCTCACCGAAATTCATCTATTGGAAAATGATATGTTAAGATGTATTGATAAAAAAACTATAATCGAGATAGAACCTCGGTCGTCAGATCATAAAATATTTTCTATACTTCAAAAAAAGACTGTGGAGAATGTAATCTTTTCTTAACGATTATCTTGATATCGACAAAATTGATTTGAGACATTTAAAAAATGTAACTTTTAGTCGTGGTATTACACTAGACAGTTTCAAGATAATGGATACTAAATCAATGACCAAGTTGAATAGGTTTACGAACTTACAAAAACTAGTTATCATAACTAGAAATGAGAATATTCCATATTCTATTTTAGATTGCTCTGCTGAGGATATCGACATCACATTTACGAATGAAATTAAATTTCATTGGTTATTATATATAACAAAGAATTTAAATTTAAAGAATAAGAAAAGTATTCATATCACAAATCTTAATATACCAAAACTATATGTTAAACATTATCACACTAGAGATTCAAATTTTATATTTAATCGTTTAAGATCCACCGCTCCTGAAGATCTTGATCATAAATCAATTACCTATACGAATGTTATTACTTATTTTAAACGAAAGTTTACAATTACTTGTGATAATAGTGAGGGGCGTTTGTTATATTCATTATATTTTTATAATCCAAATGGTTTTTTTGTGTCTATGATTGACATATCGGATATACATGATTTACCAGAATACTGTGAAAAATATAAAATTTGAGAATGTAACTATAATGGATTTAGTGGTTTCATGTATATCATTTAAATTTAAAATTATAAATAAAATTATTTATCATTCATTTAAATTTTTATAAAATAAATTTATATTCAATACACGATGAATACTTCTACTACAAAAAGAAAGAATTCCTTTGATGATAAAAATAGTTGTAAAAAAGTAAAACCAAATGATGAGAAAGTAAAACTAAGTGATGAAAAAGTAAAACCAGATGATATTATTTCTACATTGGAACTGTTTTATGATTCCAATTCAACAAACGCTTCAAAGAAAACAAAATTTATGTCTGATCTTAACAAAATGACGTTTCATCAACGAAAAGTCGTGGAATCTGTACTTGTAAAACGTGTAAATGTATGTGTCAGTGGTCCCGCGGGGTGTGGGAAATCATTTGTATTTGATTTTTTAAAAGAGTATGCCCTTGATCTTCTTAAGGTGAATATTACGATGACGGGTCCTACTGGCATATCTGCTGTTAACATTAACGGCACAACAATCAATTCAGCATTACAACTTGGAGGTTTAATCAACTATAATCAGATAAACAAAAAATTATCAAAGGAAGAGTATCGTCAATCGATACAAATGATAAAAATTTTATTAATTGATGAAATATCGATGGTTAGTGTCAAAATGTTTAAAGCTATTTCGTATATATTTGAAAAGGTTCACAAAAATAATAAATCATTCGGTGGTATCCAAGTTATCATTGGAGGTGATTTTTTCCAATTACCTCCCGTGGATGAGATGATCTTTGACTCATTATATTGGAAAGGATTAAATTTGGAATATATTTATTTGAAGGACGTTTTCAGACAAAAGGATAAGGATTTTGTTAAAGTGTTAAATAGTATTCGATGTGGAAAGTTGTCCACAAATGAATTAAATTATTTAAAGAGGTTTCAATCACCTAACACTAATTATAATGGAGCTATAAAATTATATTATCGTAATAGTGATGTTAATAGGGTAAACACCGAGGTTTATAACGCTTTGAAATCTACAGAAGTTAAATTTACTGCTAGAGATAGTTCTGAGTATCATAGGATAATTAATGATTTGGAATTAAAGTATAATGGAAGTGATAAAGCTGAAAAGATTAAGGAATTGAAATCAAAACGTGATGAAGCATGCAAGAATTTCTATAGGGAAACTTTATCACAAAAAGAACTGTATTTGAAATGTGGGGCACGTATTCAAGTTATCAAAAATTTAAATGACAGGGTGGCGAATGGTATGTTGGGTACTTTACGTGGTTGGTACAAACGAGATTTTAATGTAAAGAGAAATGATAATTTAGATATTTTAGATACTTTTCGTATGTATAAGCGTGACTTAGGTGAGGGTGTAAGGTATGAGGATTATGACCCATTGGTGAGTTTAGACAAATACCCTGATAGATATTTTCGTATTCCAAAGGTTAGCTTTGACTATCTTGTTTCAAGGGCGAGTATTGGTTTC